GGGGGTTCTCATTGTACTCCTCTAGAGGACTATTGGTATTTGGTGGGGATATGTTATTTTGGTTTTTCATGTTATTATTTTTTCCCTGTGATTTCGACATATGAATTTCTTTGGTAGTTTCTGATTCTTGTGTGAGGCTCAAACCTTCACGTTTAGGTCTGTTTCTTTTTGTAAACTTTGTGTGTCTTTGTGGTTTACTTTTTGGGCATGAAAAGCTGGCTCGTCTAAGCTTCTGGTTCTGGAGTGACCAGATTGCTTTTGTCTTCAGGAGTTCCCACAGAGGCCCAAGTCAGATGACGATCAGATGCTCTCAGGCTTTCTCCTAAGGTCTGGCTCCCTCCAGGAAAGATTTTGGCCTTAGGAATTTGGAGGTTGGACTGGCCTGGGAGCAGGGCCCAGGAAAGATGCTGGTCTAGGGCCGCTGATGGCCATGCCAGCCAGAGATGCAAAGGGAGATGGGAGTGGGAAGAGGCCCCAAGGGCTCCTGGGGACTGCACTGAGGAACTGGTTGGTCTGGATGCAAAGGATCAGTAAGAGGAAAGATCAGCCCCAGTGTCCAGAGGCTGGTGGGTTGTGCAGCCCAGGGAAGAAGAGGGAGGTGAGGGCAGGACCAGGCCCCGAGGGTTCCAGGGAGAGAGGCTGGTGGGTTGTGCATCCCAGGGAAGCAGAGGGTGGTGAGGGCAGTACCAGGCCTAGAGGGCTCCTGGGGACCCGAGAAGGACCTGGACTGGTCTGGATGCACAGGAGCAGGAGGAAGCAGTGGTGGTTCCCCAGGTATCTGGGGCCCCAAGACAAGGAATGAGACAGGACCCAGGCTAGGAGGAGAGACGGGCAGGGGAGATGGGAGGGTGAATGAGGCTGGGGGAGTCAAGGCACACGGGCGTGATTGACTTACCCGGGAGAGACTTATGTTCTTAATTTTAGCTTCTTGAGACTTGAGGACCGTGGTTGGCTGTCCCCCACAGTCTTCTAGCTTGGATATTCAGTGTACTCCCAGTCTCTCCAACATAAGGCGTCTATGCACATTCAACATTGTTGCCTGGGTCATGGATGCTCTCTGCCTCTTCTTTTTGAGTCCAGAAAGTGGATGTTGTGTGTGTCTGTGTGTATGCATGTGTGATCCCTTATGTGTGTGTGGAGGGGGTAAGATTTAAAAAAAGAGAGCAGTTAAACAAATATAGTGTTCCTTATTGCCATAAAAATATCCACATATCTTTTATAAAAAACTATTATAATATATTTACATACTACTGATATATTGGGGGGAAAGGAATGTAAAGGAGTATGATTAAGTAGTGTGGCTTTGGGGGCAGAACAAAGGTTATGTTATGATATTTACCTTACTACTCAGGCAGCTGGATACTTCTGTGCTATCACCTTAGTTATTCTTCCCTTTTGTTTTTCTTTTAGCACAACAAAATTCACCAAAAATCCATGAAGGCTGGTGGGCATACAAGGAGGTGGTCCAGGGAAGCTTTGTTCCAGGTAAATATGCATTTACTGTTATATATTTTGATTTTTAAGCATGTTTTCTTTAAACATTTTAAGGAGATAGAAATACTCAGATGCATCAAATTGTTACACTGTACTCATATTTATAACAAATAATCATTTTAAAAATTAAAATATTACTTGGATGAGAATCGGCATTACTTCTCGAAACATTCGAGAAGTGGCCTGAAAGATGTCATGAAAGTCAACCATAGTCTTACTTATACATTGGAAAAATATTCCATTAAGACAAGTTTTATTGAGTGAGAACTTAAACCGAACACAGAGCATGTAATCCCAAGGTTCTCCCCTCTTGCAACAGGCGTTTCCAGGGAGAGGGTGTTGGAAAACTGAGGGCAGAGCTCTATCTGTCACACCTGGTTCAGGGAGGAAGGAAATATGAAAAGGCTGACCATGGCAGCGAAGCTTGCTGGGATGCAGGATGTCACTGTCATTGCAATAGCACCCATGCTCAGCAAATCAGGCCAAGCACCAGCTAAAACTAACAGGTGATGTGGATACTGTCAGCATGCAGACAGAGAGCCAAAGACCAGGTATAGCCAGGAACACACCATGACTTTAGTTTAGAAGGAAGGCAGGTGGCCCTTTTTCCTCCCTCTTTTCTTACCCTCATGGTGGTCCTCATCCTGCAAAGATTTCAGAAGGTATGGAAGCTTCAACCAGAGCAAAAGTGTGAAAGAAGGAAGGCAGGAGAGGGTGACATATCCCAGAATACTTGTAACTGCCTGGATGTGAGAGACAGAAAGGAAGCTCTCACGACTTTGTGTGGTCCCCATTCATCCTTGGCAACAGAACTCCAACGGCGTCAGAGGGGTTTCTATTCTTAGAAACAGATGAAATGTTCACTGTCCGGGGTTATCTGGTACCGGGGATTCGAACAGGGACCCCCGGCACAGTGATGATTGGGGATGAGTAAGCACACCGTTCGCCAGCCCACGCCACCCCCAATATCCGGGGACACTCAGACGCAACGGTGAGCCTAGTCAGGCAGGGACTCATTTATTACAGGTGTTACAAAGCTTATAAAGACACCTGGAACTCCCCCGCCAGGGTGTATCTTAAGGATGGTCACGCGCTGATCATGCACTCCTCAGCAGTGCCGAAGTATTCTTCAGACTTTCAAAGCAAGCCAGGCCGTGCCCCCAGTAACTCCCTCTAGGACCTATGCAAGGTGGGGCCTTTATGTCCCCACAATCTGGTTCATTCTTGACTTCTGTGCCTTTGTTCTAGTCCTCTGTAGAGTTTATTATATGTGCAATACAAAGATAAAATACTCATAAAGTTTCTTACAGCATTTCTTTTCTCATGTGTATCATGGGGCAATAATAAGTGCTACTGGAGTGTTTGACAGGAGGGAAACGGGCATGGTGAAAGAGAGTAGGCAACCCAGGCAAAAAGCCAGAGATCCTCAGAGATCAAGATTACCAACTATGCAAATGTGCTACGGCACAATAGTCTTTAGCCATGTGTACACAGAAACGGGCCTAATTCACCCAGAAACAGCCAGGTTATATGCAAATTATATCTGCTATGTCTACTTAAAATGATATAGACAACTGCCATTTGATACTTATAATTGGGGGCATTTCTTTTCACCATATAGAAGATTTACATCTTGTTTGGAGAAACTGTTTTTCTTATTCATGATAGCTCAGAAATTATATTAATAATTAAATTTTTTGTATCTGTTGATTATGGAGTTAGAGCAACAAAGGAGATCGAGATTCCTGCCAGTTTGTAATGCCTTTCTAAATTGTTTCTACCTCTACAGTGAGCATCGTTTGCAGTGACTAACTAGCCTGTAGGTAGCAGCGAATGGCCACTACCATATTTCTCCTTTCTGCCCCATACTCTGTTCCCCTCAGTTGTCTGATTCTCTTCACATATATTCAAAGCCCTATTGTGACTTGCTTGATGTTTCTAAAGTGACTATAGAGAAGAAATTTTATCCTTCCATTGATGGTGATTTAAGAGTTTTAGTTTGCTTCATTTCCAACTGAAGCCTACTTGGCATAAGAGCTATGACTCATGGCTTCAACAAAACTTGTAGTGGGTAGAAACATATGAACTCCACAGCAATGGCAAATAAATGGTTAATTTGGTCCCATAATGCTCCACTTTGTCAAGTTTAGTAGCATGTATGGAACACTTGCCTGATGCAGAGCATTGTGTTTGGGGTTAATAGAGATGTAGCTGGTATGTGGTTCTTACTGAAATTTAATCCACCATCAAAAGAGGAAGACACACCAGAGGTATGACTCCGGAGAACCAGTATAATATGGCTATACAACAGGTAGACCATCATAATTCTGCCTACAGGGTGTATATCAGACCTTGTTAACCCGCTCAAATATGTGCCTTCAATTAACCTCACCTTCATCAGGCTCTGCCTTGCAAAAGCCCAGATTTTGTTAGACCATTCACCCTCCACACTGCCAAATACTTGGGGAAAGAGGTCTTTTTCATGTCTATAGCAGCCATAGTGATTTCTTTCCTTTCTTGCCAGCAATTAGCTTAGGCTCTGTGGTGGCTAATTTATGTGATGGCTACAGCACCACTGCCAGATATTTGGCCAAATGTGCCTATAGTGTTGCTGTTTATTTTTCAATAACAACACCTTTGAAATCAATCTCTAAAATCATATATAAAAATTCCTTCCTCTCTCTCTCTCTACCTCCCTCCCTCCCTCCCTCCTATACATCCCTCCTTTTCTCACTTCTCCTTTTTAGGAGAACTGATTACATGTAGACGTGATTAGTTCTATCAATGGCTTAGTGTGACATTTGGTAAATAAACTTGAGTACAAAAGCCACACTAAAGAGAACAGAATGGAAAGCAAGAACCCACATAGCTTTTAAGTCATTTTATTGTTATTGTGTATGTGATGTGCGTATATATGCACACATGATATGGTGTGAGTGTGTGTGTGTGTGTGTGTGTGTGTGTGTGCGCGCGCGCGCGCACGCGTGTGTCTGAAACAACTCTTGGGAGTCATTTCTCTCTTTCCACCATGGGTTTTTTTTAATTTATTTTTTAGTGAAACTCAAATTGTCAGGCTTGAGGAGCAAGATCTTTTACCTGCTGAGCTATCTCATTGGCCTGGAATCCATATTTTCTTGGTCCACTTGAGGATTGAATTAACCATGGGATTGCCTCTCAGTGATCTTGTTCACTGAGATTACAGACTTATTGTTTGAGGCAGTTTGTGCTGGGCTTTCTGTTACTTTCTGGCCATTATATTTGTTTTACTTGCTTTTCTGTTGCTGTGATAAAATATCATGACTGAGGCAACCTATAAAAGGAAGTATCTGTTTTGATTCATGGCTACAGAGAGATAAGAGTCTGTCATGATAGAGAGATATGGTAGTGTTGTACCCCATCCACTGGACCCCAAAAAGACCACCGAGGACCCAACACACTAAAATGCAAAAGCAAAGGTTTATGGTTTATTCGGGCTTAAGCTCAGGCTCTCAGACCTCACCAACTCAACGGATTCGTGCTGAGAGCCCAGTGTAAGGGAGAGTGGAACCTTTTATAGGTTTTAGACAAAGGGGAGGGGGGGATACCGAAGATACATTTTGGTTGGTTTGAGGAGCCTGCACACACCAACATAATTTTAAACCGATTGGATGTATAAGATGCAGCCCTGGAAGTTTCTTATTGGTAGGTGCTATTCTCAGGGCTGTGGAATGTGTTGACTGTTACCTGTGGGGCCAGGAGTCTCTGTTTTTACCTTATAGGGCAGTTTTTATGCTCAGGCTTACTTAATCTATAGTTTCCTGGAAGGGGGGTGGGGAATAGCAGGAGGGGTCAGGGCATGCCAGGGTATGTCTAGGCATGTCTAAAGCAGCAGCCAAGCATTTTACAGAAGCTAAAAGAGCAATTAGTGGGGGTCTGAAGAGGGTCTCAGGGTTCTACAGTAGCAAGGAGCAGAAAAGTAAGGGGTTACATTTTGTACCACAGAAATGAAGCAAAGAGAAACTTCAAGTGAGCTCTCACAGCATGGCTAAGGTTCCATGACCTCCCCAAATAATGCCAACCAGGAGAAGTGTTCAAATAGTTGATCCTATGGGGGGGGGGCATTTCTTATTTAAACAACCATAGTATTCCTCCAGTTTCAAGTGTTTAAGGCTGACGGAGAGAAGGAAGTTAGGACTGTGGCTTGACAATATTAGTATTGCTCAAAGTATGGAAGGATGAGAATATTAAGAATGTCCAAGAGCACAGGAAAAGAAGATGGGACATGTCTACAGCTTTGAGGAGTGGTGTTTCTAGTGCTGAAAAAAACAGAACACAGGTAGACTATGATGAATGAAGAAGCTGGCATACATGGTTGGTACAGCAGAATATGACACACATTTGTTCACTATTTAGGGCTATATACTAACTCTAAAAAGGAAAGAGTGCTAAGACACTTCTAAGGTAGGGAGGAACAGTTAAAAGGGTGTTCTAGAAAACAAGTCATGGTCCCAGTCATAGGAATGGACCATACCACAATGAAGGTAGCAGAGACAGAAAAATCAACCAGACTTATGTTTGTTTGCTTACTTTTCCTTTAATTATCCAGGTGAGGGTTGAAAAACTTCTAAGCAAGGACTATAAAACCGAGAATATTAGCTCCTCCATGATCCATGGTGAATGGTGATGGGCCTAAACTCTGGGCAGCTCTTGACTGTTGAAGGGATGCAGTTTCTTTAGTGGTACAGCCATGAATGAGTTACACTTGCTCCACTAAATAACTACTTACACATACTGGACAGATAACTCTTATTAAATTCAGTAGGTCACTACGAAAAAAAAAAACCCATAAAAGTAGGCGAGGTATTTGTTGAGAAGAAGGTTCCAGAGAGAGAAGGAAGGAGGTGATGTGAAAATTATCAAAATTCAATGTATAAATGCATGAAATTGTCATCAAACAATAAGAGGCAAAAAACAGGTGATTAAATAAAATATGTATGTTCACACAAAAAAAA